AAGCAAATATGGCCCGATGATATGCTCGTCCACAATGCCGCGCCATATGTTAATTGAAAACTGATGTTGGTCTCTATGGATGGCTATGGCATGAGGGTTTTCTTCATCCCAAATGTGACTGTTACGGCTATTAAAATAACCGTCCTTTGTAAAACAGGACTCGTCAGTGAACAAAACGTAGCGACCAAAGTTTGGTTGCCTCAACTCCTGCTGCAGCCTCCAACGACAAAAACGTCGACGCGGCAGATAGTCTTCTGGACCCATGGCTTGGACTTTTAAAAGGTGGTATGGGTGTAGTTGCTGGTCATGGAGAACCCGCCAAACAGTAGTTTGAGACGCTCCCATATCATGTGCACGCTTGTACGCGGATTGGCCTCTACATGATGCAGAATCGCTTCCTCAAATTCTACTGTGCGCCTCGTGAAGGGCCGCCCTGCTCCCGCGAAGTGTCTGATGCTGCCACTGACACGAAGACGTCCATGAATCCTTGCAAAAATGGCGTGAGGACGTTCTGGTAACCGTTGGGCGTAGATTCGCGAGGCTCCGTTACCACCAGCTTCTCCGTAAATTAAATGCATATCCGCAAGTTCCGCATACGAATAACGCTGCATTTTAACATTAAGGTACTGTTATTTACTATCTAGTTTGACGCACCACTCAGATAAATTAAATGAATCGGTGTGGAGAATTTACGATAACAAAAATGTAAACACAGCAGGCTTTTTTTTACAATCCGGCGAGACCATGAAATGTGCTAGACGAACATTTTGCAGCTGGTGAATTTTTTGTTTCTCCTATGAGCTCTTAATGTAAAATTAGCGGTAGTGCTCAAACGGCATATTTACGAACAGGGGTTTATAAGGCAAAATTGCATATTTTTATGCCATCTACAACCCCTATCATTTTGTCGCAATAATTATGGAACACCCTGTATAGGCAACGCGGTTATATAGCGGTAGACGTTATGGGTTTACTCATCAGCGGTGAACCTAAAAAAAAGACAAAATCGGTATATGAAATTTGCTAGATCTTATACAATTTTGCCTTATAAACCCCTGTTCGGAAATATGCCGTTTGGGCTGCAGCAAAAAAAAAGATCAGTTTCTTGAAACAGCTTACCTACAATAATTGCTCAAAGTGTCCTTCACCTTGCTCAATACACAGCTGTGCACGATTGTTCAATGATCTGCGAACTCTGTGGCATACCCCCGGTATGTCCTGAACATGTGCGGACGCGGCCATCACTCTTCCCAGTAGCTCTTGTTAGTTGGGAACAGGAGTGTCGTACACTAAAGCTTTCAGATGGCGCCAGAGAAAATAATCCAGTGGGGTCAGGTCGGGTGACCGCGCAGGCCAAGGCACAGGGCCACCTCGGTGGATACTACTTGGAAATATGTCGTCCAAATACTGCCGCACTTGTAAAGAAAAGTGGGCTGGAGCGCCATCGTGTTGAAAGCACATGTTGGCTCTTATGTTCAGTGGCACATTTTCTAATATTTCCGGTAGCACATGCTGTAAGAATCGACCATAACCATGCCCATCCAAACGTGGTGGAAGCAAATATGGCCCGATGATATGCTCGTCCACAATGCCGCGCCATATGTTAATTGAAAACTGATGTTGGTCTCTATGGATGGCTATGGCATGAGGGTTTTCTTCATCCCAAATGTGACTGTTACGGCTATTAAAATAACCGTCCTTTGTAAAACAGGACTCGTCAGTGAACAAAACGTAGCGACCAAAGTTTGGTTGCCTCAACTCCTGCTGCAGCCTCCAACGACAAAAACGTCGACGCGGCAGATAGTCTTCTGGACCCATGGCTTGGACTTTTAAAAGGTGGTATGGGTGTAGTTGCTGGTCATGGAGAACCCGCCAAACAGTAGTTTGAGACGCTCCCATATCATGTGCACGCTTGTACGCGGATTGGCCTCTACATGATGCAGAATCGCTTCCTCAAATTCTACTGTGCGCCTCGTGAAGGGCCGCCCTGCTCCCGCGAAGTGTCTGATGCTGCCACTGACACGAAGACGTCCATGAATCCTTGCAAAAATGGCGTGAGGACGTTCTGGTAACCGTTGGGCGTAGATTCGCGAGGCTCCGTTACCACCAGCTTCTCCGTAAATTAAATGCATATCCGCAAGTTCCGCATACGAATAACGCTGCATTTTAACATTAAGGTACTGTTATTTACTATCTAGTTTGACGCACCACTCAGATAAATTAAATGAATCGGTGTGGAGAATTTACGATAACAAAAATGTAAACACAGCAGGCTTTTTTTTACAATCCGGCGAGACCATGAAATGTGCTAGACGAACATTTTGCAGCTGGTGAATTTTTTGTTTCTCCTATGAGCTCTTGATGTAAAATTAGCGGTAGTGCTCAAACGGCATATTTACGAACAGGGGTTTATAATGCAAAATTGCATATTTTTATGCCATCTACAACCCCTATCATTTTGTCGCAATAATTATGGAACACCCTGTATAGGCAGCGCGGTTATATAGCGGTAGACGTTATGGGTTTACTCATCAGCGGTGAACCTAAAAAAAAGACAAAATCGGTATATGAAATTTGCTAGATCTTATACAAAATAGGTAGATAGAAAAATGAGCAAAGTATACTTTTGTAATACGCACGTGCACACAACATAGATTTTTTGAGGACGTCTTTTTCTGAAAGAATATCACCTTTTTAACATGCTTTTATTAGCTTGGAATGTTTGTATGCATGAGTCTTTGAACATAATTTTCACCAATTACCAAAACTTTGATTAATTTGAAACTTCGCACCCGTATCAAGGACCGATAACATTGCAATATCATGACATGTCTACAAAAAAATAGATTGAATTAAAAAATGAAAAATTAATAATAGTTTAAGATACTAAAATAACACGCTTTTATAGCTAACCGAACTAAAAAGTAGAAAACAATTTTTAATTACAAAGATATTACAGCAATAGATGGTCGAAGAATCAATCATAATTAATGACCTCAAAATAAAATTATAATATAATTTAAATTATTAACAGAATAATTCAGTTCACAGTAAAAAGGGTGGAGTGCATTTTATTACATTTTCATAACTCTCCTCATAGATAGTTGCCAATAGAATGATTGAAACATTTAATTCATCAAGCACCCCACGCTTTTTACTCTGAATTGAATTATTCTGTTAATAACTTAAATTTTATTATATTTTTATTTTGAGGTCATTAATTAATATTGATTGTTCGACCATCTACTACTATAATATAAACTCTTCGCAATTAAAATTTTTTTCTACTTTTTAGTTCTGTTAGCTATAAAAACTTGTTTTTTAGTTTTATTAAACTATTATTTATTCATTACAACTTGTACTAAGCATACTGTCCGCTCTTCAAACTAATTTGCAACCATCCTCGAAAATCGTCTGCTCATTCTGAAATTTGAAATTCTTTATTCATGTCACAAAACAAGGCGAGTGCTAATGATCATAAAAAATTACAAACAAGTACACCAGCGCTCATAAAGATATAACGCTAACATAACATAATTAAGATGTATAGTTAAAATGTATGTCTTAAAAACGCTTCAAACGTGTAAAATGAGTTATTAGTAAGAATTTTCTTGATTTGAACTTTAAATTCTTTAAACGGACGCGATTTTAAGCCGTCTGGAAGTACATTAAAAAATTTGACCGCCCAATAACCAGGTCCATCTTGACACCTTCTCAGTCGCCAATAAGGAGGTACTAGATTGTTCTTATGCCTAGTATTGTGCTCATGGACGTCCCCATCTGTTACATAGTTAGAGTTTCTTTTAACAAACAGTAGATTTTCAAAAATATATAAACAAGGCACAGTAAGGATTCCCAACTTGACAAAGGTATCTCTGCAATCGTACCTGTAGCCCACACAAGCTCACAACCCTAACTGATCTTCTTTGCAATGCGAACAGTCTATGGAACCCCGAAGAATGCCCCCAAGCCAGAATGGCGTAGGATATATGTGAATGGCAAATGTCAAAGTAAGCCATTCTCAATATGGCTACAGAAACACAAGAAGACAGACTCCGTAACACATATATCCCTTTGGTGGCCTTTCCAGCAACACTGTCAATGTGAAGGCCCCATTGCAATCTTGGATCCAAAGTAACCACCAGAAACTTGGCTTCACCAACCAAATCACTGTCTCCAGGCAGGCTTCGCATGGAGAACACCATTCTCTTTATCTTATCTTTATTTAGCAACAGCTTATTGGAGCAAAACCACAGCTCAGCCTCATCCTGCGCAGCCAGAGACTGTGCCATTGAGCCCTCAAAACTGTTAGCGGTGTGAGAGACGGTCGTATCATCCGCGAAGAGAGTAAAGTTTGCCATATTGTTATTGAGAGGTAAATCATTTATGTAAATTAAAAAGAGAATTAGGCCCAAGATGGAGCCCTGTGGGACGCCACTTCGCTCCGCTGATGTCACTCCATCACATCTCACCACCTGAGTTCTACTACTAAGGTAAGACTCAATTAGTTTAACGGAATCATAACTAAAGTTGTAAGCATGGAGCTTTTTAAAAGGATGTCATGGCTCACACAATCAAATGCCTTAGTAAGATCGCAGAAAAAAAACCGTGTTATTTCTCCATGGAAAGCATCAGTTATAGAAGATATCAGGTTAAGTACACCCATAACAGTGCTCTTACCCTGGCGAAAACCAAACTGATATTGTGAAAACAATTCATTTGCCTCAAAAAAGGTTACCAGTCTCAAAGCCATACATTTTTCAAAGATCTTAGAAATAACTGGAAAAAGGGACATAGTTCTCTGGTGAATCAACATTGCCGTTCTTAAAAATAGGTGTGACACTAGCTCTCTTTAGAACAGTTGGAAAAATATTTTCTCTAAGACAAATATTAATCAGTCGTATTAGAGAGATCAAAATTATATTCTTTATACATTTCACAATTTTTAAAGTGAAACCAAAAATATCTTTACTGTTTTTATGTTTGAGATTATCTATTACATCGCGAACCTCGTTAAATGTGACTTCAGAAAAAGAAAACAGAGGTAGCGGTACCAGGAGATCAATATTATTTACAGGATCTAAATGTAAATCAGGGATGTGATTTACTATATTACCTGCTATGCTACAAAAAAAATTATTAAAGTCATCAGGTGACAGGTCACTGCTCCCAGGTCTCTTATTACTCTTACCTCTTTTTTTGTTAATGATATCCCACACGGTTTTAGCAGGATTACTTGAGCTCTTTACAAGGTTGTCATTAGCATTTATCTTAGCTTTTCTTATTTTATTTCTATATAGATTTTTGTAGTTTTTATAATACTGGTCACTCACAAAACCATACTGCCCTATCAGCTCTCTCAAAAACCTCAAATGTTCCCTCATTGCCCTTAGTTCGGTATTAAACCAGGAAATATTATTGCCCTGGTCGGATCTTACCATATAAGTTTTCTTTGAAAAAGAGTATGTATAGGCTTCTTGAAGAATATCCATGAAGTGGCTAAACTTACTTTTGTTCACCACTGGTACTCTCAACAGTAATGAAATCCCAAGATACCTCCGACAACCTACTGTGTAACAAAAACAAACCTCTTTGTGTTACTGGTCTATATATTTTTTTATTTTGAATAAAACCTGTGGTTTCACAACCAAGACATTTAACCAGCTAACCTTTATGATCTGATATTCCAATATCACATACCTGAGAGCCACATAGCTCCATCGCACTACTAAGGAAAACATTGTCAAGACAGGAGTCCCCACGAGTTGGTTCAAAGATTGTTTTTTCTAAGCCAAAGCCAGCGAGAAGGTCACACAATTTACTTGTATTAACATCTAATGTGTTGAAACTTACATTGAAATCCCAAGCAAGAATAATTTACCTATTCGTACTAAATTGTGTTAATATTACCTCCAGGGATTCCAAGAAGGTATCAAAATTCCCTGAAGGAGATCTGTAAATAGTTAAAACATAAACATTCAGACTCTGACAATAAACCACACAATACTCAATACACTTCTCTATATAAAAGGCAGGATTAATACATATAACATATGAATTAAATTTATTTTTGGTAAAAATTGCAGTTCTTCCACCTGTGAAGTGCTTCCGTTCAGAAGACCCTCTCATCATGTATCTCTGCAAATGGACAAGTTCCATTTCTTCTTTGGTCAACCAATGTTCTGTCAGGCACAGTACATCAATGTTCTCATCAGCAAGAAATGCTTCCAACTCGTCTATTTTTCTTCTTACGGATCTCACATTTATATGCAGAATCTTTACGTCCTGCTGTTTAGGTTTTCCTTTACCATATTTTGGCGCTGCAGGTTCCGAAAATGGTTTATTAGGATGCCCCTTGGCAGATCCGGACATAAATATTTATTAATGTCATCATGAGGTACAGTAAGTCGAAATGAGCTGCAGTACTTTTCCTTCTTGGTTTTCATTTTTTCGCAGGTGTATTCATTAGTTGTTTATCTGGTGATGCGGTAATGGTGGCGATCTACCAGTCTATACTTGTTGCAGTTATTCAAATTCGAATATATCTCTGGACTACTTTAAAAAATCGTGATGAGGTAATGACGGTGATATACAGGTCTGTACCTATTGTACGCACAAAAAACAATACAGGGAGATAATACAATAGTAAAGGATGTTTGTAAACAATAAATTAGAGGCAACCCAAATCTACGACCCCATTTCTTTAACGGCCTTACTGTATGCATATCTATGATTGATATAGGTCACAAGACTACATACAGGTAGACTATATAGCATTAATTTTTTTAACTTTTTTTTGGTCGCTTAATCTTTATCGCCTAAAAATTTGAATAAATCAGGACTATTTTAAAAAATCGTGGAAAATGAGAGTTTCGCTTATCCGTAGGTGGTAGACGATCTCGGACTATCGAACGTGAAGGTGCCACCCAGTGGATCTCTTAGGTGATCACGTGTTTCGCGTGATGTGTCTCCCTTTCTCCTGTATCCCTCTATGGTCGCACGGTTCTCACGGGTTTTCAAGCCCAGTGTAAAAATATAGCAGAACAGAAACACGAATTTAGAAATCTACTTTGAAAACAATTACAGTACCTGGCTATGCTATTGTCTCATAGATAGTATTATAATCTTCAATCCCTTTTGCCCCCTCTAATGCCTACATTAACTTGGTACCTTCACCTTTTTCATTAATATGACATATCCACTGAATTTTCTCATGCTTAATAATGCCAAACCTGCATTGGGTACCCATTAATGAACTTTCCTTAGTGATGTAGTTTATTTCTCGTCGAATCTTGTCTTTAAGTTCGTGTATTATTGGAAGACACTTTTGAATTTAGATAACCACACACAAAATAATCGCAAGGTGTGAGGTTGGGTGACCTAGGAGGCTAGTGAATGCATCCAACTTCGATATAACTCTTTCACCGTGTCCATCAATTCTCTGGAAGTATGGGCAGTGACCCCATCCTGTTGAAACCATGTGTTTCTGTTAAATCGACATTCCGTTCCTACCATAGGAGCAAAAAAAGTGTCAATCATGTCCTGGTATCGCTCGGAATTGACTATCAATACCGTTAGAGGATATGGCGCACCTTTGGACTATGTAGCTGTTGTTGATGTTTCTCTTTTGGGTTCGGTGGTACCCAATATCTGCAATTTTGCTTCTTCCCATAACCGTTTAAGTGAAAATGGGCCTCGTCACTGAAAACAACGTTCTCGAGTCTGAGCTGAGTAGGAAAAAGATTCAACATCCGTTCAGCACAAGATTTCCGTAATACGTATTCACTTTCCTGTAAAGCATGGACTGACTGGATTTTATAAGGATGAAAACCCATGTTTTTCTTCATTATGCCATGCAGTATTGACCTAGGGATTCCCAAAGCAGCGGAATGCTTCCGTACAGAACGCCGAGGATTTGCAAAGACCGAATCACTTACTCGAAGCATATTTTATTTGGTTGATACAGTAGGTATGGGGACAGGAATGGGTTGACTAGGAGTAGAGCCTGTTTCACGGAACCTCTTAATCCACTTTTTCAATAGGTTCTTACTTGGGGCATCTCTTGGTCGGCGGATGTTGCATCGTGTACGAAATTTCCGAAGGGCAGCTGCGTATGAATCACCACTCTTACAGTAAACCTCGGTTGCAAAAGCACGTTGCGTTCCAGTTTAACGTTCCGTTGTGACTATTTAACCCGCAACCCGCAAGCCGAACGCGTCGATCAAGACCTATCCCCACTTCCTCGCGTATACGGTTGCCGCGTAATTCAAATTTGAAATATGAACTTTCCCTCTTTCCCACGACAGATTGACAGATCTCTAGTTTTCGCAACTGGTTCCATCAATAACTAAAAGTATTCTGATGGTTCGAACTATCCCGTTTTGTTTTTTAATGTATCTATATGAACTATGAACAATCCATGAGCGTTTGTATATTAGCGGAGAGAATCTGATATCAGAAAATTGAAGAAACCTTATTTTCTATCAAACTTTTAGGTACTTCCTTTTTTCGCATAAACGTTGTTAGGTACTTAGCGCAATTTTCTTGTACGTCTATTAAGTCTTCGACAACCCTAATTAGATAATATTCATCGGTGGCCGCGAGTTAAACGAACCTACCCATTGCCCTTTTATTTTTCTGTATGCTTACGAGCCTCTTCCTTATGTCCCCAGTAGCAGATATTCAAACTTCGATGAATATCGTCGGGAATATCCCTTTCAATAATATACCAAGAGACTTCGATCATGTTACTCAAAATTTTATTTTGGAATCTCTGTATATTTTTTTATACAAATAGTAGTGTGTAGCAAATATTAGGCTCTTCCCCTTTGACCTGACTGCCTTCGCCCGTGAGTATGTGGACAAAGAATTATATTTGACAGGATTGATGGATTTTGACATTCGACTCCCTAACTACATCTTCATTCTTTTCAGTTAATGCTTTCGCGTTTTTCGTATTATTCAAAAAATGACGTCAACACTTTTCTCATGCAACGCCGTCATCAGTTCATAAAAGATTGAGTTCAGCGCAAGTTAAGCCCTCCAAGAAAAAAACTAGTTACGAACATGTTAAACGTATCAAGTCAGTCAACAGGTCCATACAATAAGTCCATAAACATTATGTCGCCTCTCTCCTATACCTAACCCGTGTAGAACCGACACCGTGACAGTGGTACTTACCAACACCGGCACGTGGCTGGGAGCAGAAGCAGACGCATATTGAAGACACTTCGATGTCAAGTTTTAAGGTCAAATGTACGGGGAAGTCGGAATAGGTGAAAAGAGTTCAAATTATCTACTATCCGTTTAGGCATTAAAATGCATGTATAGGATTAGTCAACTAAGATTTATAAAAGAAAATACAATGTATAACAATCATAAACAAACAAATTCTGGGACAGCATAAACATTTATATATAAGCAATTCTTTCAACTCAGCTTTAAATTAATTGACATGGGAACATTCGCCAATAGCAGTTGGAAGCTTAATATATAAATATAATCTCCCTGATAATATAATAAAAATTATTAATTAAACGCTTGACTTTATTATTATAAACATACGCAGATAGTTCATGCAAAAAGAATGAGGTTGAGCAGGTTAAACAAGATGCTTTCGTCCGTCGGTTTAACCTGTTCAATGGCAAGTAGACCACTTCTACATTCAGCCAGAATCATCAGCCATCTAGCGACACGGCTATTAAACGGGATCTAAGATGCATAACAGTTCCGACTAACAGCAGCGGTGCGCGATCCACAATGGTTCGATTCCGGTGCGATAGATGGCGCTTCGCGCCATCTCCTGCTGAATGAGGGTTGAGTAAAAATTTCAAAATTCATAAAAATATCTTTACAAGAATGTAAGCTGTTAACTTTGGCTATACACCTAATTATAATTATTATTATTTATTTTTTTTTTGTCAAAAATACCTGCTGAATTTTCGTTGCCAAACCCCAGAAACACAAACCGTACCTCAGCCTTGATTCAATTTGCGCATAACAAATAGTAACCAGTTGACTATCAGAAAGAACTGGTCGCCGAAGTTGGGATTCTAATATCTAAAAATTGAGATAAAGAATAGATAAAGGTTAGCAGGGTCCACGGAACTGTTAAAAAACGAAGCATGAGCGATTTTTTTTCGTTTTTGGACTTTTTTTCGCCGCCACTGGACCGATTTTCAAAAAATATGATGCTTTTCTGCCCCTTGCATAAGTAGTAACTGTGTAAAAATGTCTTCCAAATCCGAACAGTACTTTCCAGATTATAGACGGACCATGGATCAGCGGACAGACAGACCAACGGAAATGAGCATCATGGTTTTTCGTGATGTACATATATACGTATGTATGTACATGTCATATAACATCCAAAGAACATAATATCTCATTTTCGATATGTTTTGTTGTTACAATACTTCGTCAGTAGGTGTGGGAAATTTGTTTCTTGACATAGTGCTTTAACAAATTTGTTATTACTGACAAAAAATACCTGCTCAACGCATATCATTTATCAGCTGCAGCTACCATCATCCTTAATCATAAACCATCCAAAGTGTTGCCACACACAAACCGAGACGTGAGCAAGTAGTTGGCTGTGATTGCGACGAGTGTCTTATTATTAGGGATAATGCAATAAATGCAGCAGCACACAAGGTGTATTTTGCACGTCTAACCACCTGTTTGCCGGGAGAGAGCGAAACATGGTAGTGTGAATATAGTTATTTGAGTGAGACACGCTAACGTGCCGGTAAAATGCATTGACATGCAAATAAGAGTTTCTGATGGATCCGCAGATGACAAATTTGAGTTATTTGCTCATTATAATATCTTAAGCATTGCATAGCAGAAGGCAGCAGTTAGCATACCTTCCTTCGAGGGGTGTCTTAGGACTGGATCATCTACCACCTCTTAACTATTGAAGACAGAGTCACACATATAGAGCTTCCTTTCTATTATCATGGAAGGTCCACACATCCACAGAATGGATTCTTGCATTGAAAGGAGAATCAGGTATCCGTAAAGCAAGGATTTATCACATCTTCCTGTTTACATCCTCTATACACAAGGATGTATCACCAACCTCATATTTATAGAGACCTTCCAACCGTGGACAGCGTCCAGTCGCATCACTAGGATTCGCAAGGTATTCTGAAAAGACATTGATTAAATATATCAAGCCTCTACTCCGGCGTCAAAAAAGGGATATCGCTGTTAACACAAGAAAACCACGTAACTCCACTTTATATGGCGTTTAAAATACGAAATACACGTAATTCCTAATTTTACCTATTTTCCATTTTTGTTTTGAAAATTTCAGCTTTCTTTAAGTATCATTCAGAAACTGCTCAACTAAACTATAATATTGCGTTTAT